ATATTTTTTGACGTTGTCTGTTTCAACGAGCGGCGTATCCAGCTTTTTGTGCGTGTGTAGGGGGAATTCAAAAGCAAATGCGGCTTCGGCTCATTCAACATGATATTGGGGGGTAAAAATATCAAAATCCTTACGGTCCCGACATCCTTGCTTTTATTTTGTGCTGTTGTTTTTAAGGATTTGGTGCAAATATATGTTAAATAAAAAATTGTTTATTAATATTTGATTTAAAAAAATCCGTCGGGGAGCATGTTGCCCCCTGCTGGATACGAGACTGGTTTCAACGTACGAGAACAGTTGAACTATGAACCCCTATGAAGACAACACTACTGCAGTAGCTTTAAGTAATATCCAGCTGCGTCCATGCATAAACTGACATCTGTGTCTAATACTCTAGTCTACCTCTCATAACAATAACTTGCTGGTTATAATTTTGCACACACAGCAGGCAATAAGCCTGTCCTTGTTTTAATAAAGTGCCTGTCAGGTTCCAGGCATGGAACCTGACAGTTTGTTTGTTTGTTTTTGTTTTTGGTGGAGACACTAGTGCCTTTTATTAATGTCCTCACGGGAATTTTACTTTTTTCATTCCGATGCTTTTCTTTTAAATGCATTCTTCAATTAGCAATAGGCAGCAGATAGTTATCACTGGAAAATGTTTAGGCTGGCTGGATAATTCTAATTGTCAAACGAATAGAAATGGTTGAGTAAAGGAAGGCAAACCTTTTTAAGTCGATCTACATTGTTCGCTCTGTGGGCAAATCCTGCTATCTACAGGCCACTTTAAGAAATTCACTAGTCTGAAGTGTAATCGTCTGCCTTGCTATTCCACATGCAATATGCAAGCATTTCAGATAAACTGACGACCCCTGTTTGATTTTTTTTGTATATAGGCCTACATCTTTTTATTCTGTCTATTTTAATTTTGATGCAAAATTAAAGCCAACGCGATGGGTATATCGTTCTAGATTTTAAAGATATTTTGTACTCAGTGTTGACTTGACAATTATACTATTAAGTCCAGCTGAGAGGAACGCAAAATAATTCCAAGAGCAGGCACAGCTTGCAAAAGTTGTTTTCAAAATTCCACTTTTTCAACATCATTTTGGCCTTCTCACTTCACAAATACAAAAGCCATAGATCGAGTTCTAGCAATCGGCTTCGTTCAGGAAATTAATTTTTAATTCCTCTTCATTTCAACTGTCCTTCAGCAACAACAAATCGTGGGTTCATTTTCTTCACGTCTCATTCTCTTATGAAAGGCAATTTCAGCCCTCCGATGACTCGAGTCAATCCGCTCTCATCTCTCGCTCATCACCCTCAGCCTGTTATTTCTCTTGACATGCGTACTCCCCAGACGACTAATTTAGTTACGACACTATCGAGAAGTTCCCACCAATCTACAGTGTATCTAACCAGTACTTGCTAAAAAACGTGTATATGTAGGAACAAGCTATTTTCCATTGATTTTAACCTTGCAGCCTCTTGCCTATAAGTCTTATCACGAGTACTGCATGGGTGATTTTGCACAATGGTAAAAGGACATTGTGGGAATAAAGGAGAAACAGTGCTATTTTTTTCTTCCATCAGTGTTTTTCTACCATTGTGCAAAATCATCAATGCAGTATTAGCCATAAAGCTTATCATTAATTCCAAAGCGTCAAAAATAGGGACCTTGATGAAAAATTAATGAATGTTTTGAAACAGGAAAAACAGATGCAATGACTTGACGCCATTTACGAACGGTTGGTCAGCACAAAACAAAAATAATAATAAAAGATACATTTTAAAAATTGCTTTCTTTATAGGTGCTTCATTGTTATATAAAATTATTACGAGAAACGGTATTCAAAATGGCGTCTGCATAAATATTATTTTCTCGTGCTTAATGGAATAAACTCCTGGCGTTAAAATATACATATGTTACAGTTGGATACACTTACGTCAGCAAACCCTGATCGTGATCACTGGAGTTTGTTGAGGGAGGGGGGGTGTCGGTTGCTTCCCAGTCACTTCAGTGTCTCCACAATCACTGTTATATGTAGCTTACAAGTGGAACTTGAGTCAGGTTGAAAAAACACTAAGTCATCGGCGTCCATCAAGTTCCCATTTAAACAGCACGTGCATGCACCGTATCCAAGTACTACTACTCTGAACGATCTCAGACTTGTAACATGGCCAGACATATATCCTGGGAGCGCATATTATCCATCCTTCCAGTAGCTTCCAAGATTACTGCCCTAAAATATGTGACGGACAGTAAAAAAGCTATATAATGTTAATATATCATTACAGCTTTTCTGCACTCAGTGAATGCCCTTCTGAACTGTGTGCAGTGTCCTCGTTCCTTTTAACTTCTTCACGCCGTACGTGACTCAGACAGACGTATCATACACAGGGGACACGACCTTACTGGTGAGAATAGAAGAGCGTAAATTGGCGTCCCGACTAGCATAAAAGACCTATAATTCCTTCAACAAACATACCGGCCACATTAAGCTAGGTCCCTGTGCGATCTTTTATGTAGAAATTACGTAACATTCTTGTTTTGATAATTGGGGTTCCTAGACCGAAACGTGCTTATCAGGAGGCAGTGACGGGGTGGTAGTTGTGTCCAAATTCAGTGACCCAAATCCAAGCTAGAAGAAAGCGACCTTGTTGTCAGGCCGTGAAATACATTAGGCTATGATTATTTTCATCGTTTTCCATAATGCAGCCAAAGTGACAGACATCATGCAGGTTTGATGGAGTTTGATTTATTGTTGAAAAGGGGTGTGCACTGACAGTACCAGTATTCAAGGATTGTAAGAAATCAATATTTGAGCAATCGCATCCTATGAATGAGGAGAAACCATTTCTGATGAACGCTCTCTATACTTGATATTAAGCATAAAGCTTGGAGACATCTGCTCACGACTCTGCACCATTATCAGGATATCTTTTCAATTGGAGGCTTTGAAGTAACAAGGAAATTTCCAGCCAATTATATTATATTGGAAAGAAGGGAGGATTGAGGAGAATGGGATGTGGTATTCAATAAGACTGGTATAGGCACGATTCTTTTATAAACAACTGATGACAGATACAATCATTTATATTATGGAAAGGTTTATTTTCATTTGTGAATTTCTGAGGTGATACTAAAAAAATAACCCATGGATGCACTTCATTCTCTTTAAAAACAAGTTGAATTTGTTCTTTTATCGGTAGGCTCATTAATGGTGTCTTACAGCCCCACAGTGTCATAAATGATACAATAAATATCTATGGCCAGTATCCCGACAACAGTAAATATTCAGGTTGCTCTGATGACAAAGTTTTTCATAAAAAACAGCTCAAACTGAAAGAAATTTGAAACGTTTTTTGTTGCGTCAAACAGGTTCAGATCTGCGGAGACAGGCTAGAAAGAGAAGTAGAAGAAAAAGTAGAATAGAAATAGAAATAAACCAGAAATGGTAAAAATAAAAATGGATATAGAAATGGATACAAAAATGGAAATAGAATTAGATTAGAATCAGAAATAGAAACAGAAGTACAAAATAAATAAAGTAAGAATTGAAATCAAAATAGAATTAGAACAGAAATAGAAACAGAACTTAAAATAAAAATAAAAATAGAATAGAAACAGAAATCGAAATAGTAGTAGATGTCAAAATGAAAATAAAAATAGAAAATAAAAAGAATTAGAGACGGAAATAAAACTAGAAATTTACTTGGAGTTTTACCCCAAAAAAATACAAACAGGACGAATGAAATTTGTCAAAGTTAGAAACCGTGCTCGGGATCAACTTTTTTAAATAAAAAGATGAAATTAATAGAATTTGTAAAATTGCAATTCCAGTCCAGCTAATGAGAAAAAATACATTCTGTTTGATTATAATTTTAATGTATTATGTTTGTTTATATTGGCCCTCGAATCACATTTGAGGTAAATATAGTGACAAAAATCTAGACTGAAGTATACTATGTTCGGGGACAGAAATAGCAATTAGAAAATAGAAAATTGAAAAGATATATGGGCTGAAAATCAAACTGACACTCCAGAGAAAGTACAAGAAGCGATGTGGTAATGTCAAATTTCAACTAAGTAACTCAGCTTAAAAAGCCATCGTTACGAGGTTGTTGGGACATCCACATAATTAGTAGCAATCACCTAATGGAGTGCTAGTCTTCGAGTAACTTTTATCATTTTTTAAGAACAAAACTGTCATGTGAAACTTCAGATTTACATTACCCTTTTCTAATTTGTCAGACTGACAAAATTCTTTTTCTTCGTATTTTTTTCATCCAAGACTAATTCTCTGAAGGTGTTGTTTGGAACTATTAAAAGTTTCTGATCAGCCCTTTGAGAAAACAAATCTGTTTATTTGAAATCGTTTTATTTCGAACTACTAATGGTCTTGATTATGAATGATTTTAAAATTCTTTGTTTCCATACCCCTCAACCTGTTGAAGTCCAAACTTATATTATACTTCAACCAGGCACCTTTTTGTAGGGGATTATATAGCAAAATTATGATTATGCAGAAAATTGTATGTGAGAAAAAATGTAAGTCTGTGTACCAATTTTTCTATAAGTGGGAAAAATCAAATAAAATGACATGGGTGCCTTCCTTCAATAAGAATCCGGAAAGTATACTTCAGCATTCCTTGATGAAGGAATCTGTATTTTTGTCTCCCATGAATCAAATATCACCTGCAGAGGATTTGTCTGGGGAGATAAGACGATAAAATTTGTTTTGTTCGTTTAGTAAAATATTATTAGACATGTTTAAACAATGAGTAGGAAAATGCTCCTGTTTTTGAAAACTGAAAGACTCTGAGACGCAGTGCTTATTGGAAGGAAATGATTTGGCCTATTATATTATGTTTTCACCACTAATGTACTGATGTTGCTGTTTTCTCTATCCGTGCAGTCGCAGTTAATGGCAGGTTCGATTCGGATGCAGGTACAGGTAGACTACCAAGTTTTCTTTTCTCTCTGTGCGATTTTATAGTCTTTATGAAAGATGACGACGAAGAGAGGACGAAGAAGAAGACGCAGAAGGAAGATCAGTAGAAGGCCCTGAAGGTTGCTGCTCAGCCTTCACCATCTGTGAGATGAGATCGTTGAGTTTTCCAGAGATGGTGTCCAGGGTGGGTCGGGCGCCAGGACTTCGCCTCATGCAGGAGAACTCTCCTAGCAACCGCAGGCCGTGAAGAACGTCTGCATCACCAGCCACGTCCACGAAGAGTTTGCCGAGGCTGTAGATGTCTGATTTCACGGTGAATGTGTCTCTGCCTTCAAGCACTTCAGGGGCACACTGGAATCAGGAAGAACATTAAAGAGACGAGATCATTTAGAGAAGTGCTGAATTTAATCAGGATATTAAAACTTGGAAACCTTCATTGTGGTGCTTCTTACTTGTTTGGCAAGTTTGTAGAAGATGTTTTGTTGCTCCTCATCCAAGACTACCAGGGGGCGGGAACTGGAAATCTGTTGGGCGTTTCCTAGGTCGATGATCTTTCCACTCCATGCTACCTCGGAGCCTGGTGGGTTGGGACACACCATAGCATTCCCACAGTGAAGATCGTTATGGAGCCAGCCAGCAGCGTGCAGATCTTTCAAGCCCTCGGTGACATTTCGGCAGACGTGTAGCCATTCCAACGCTGTTAGGAGATTGTACTGGTACCGCGCCATGCTGAAGTTGTAGGCAGTGTTTGTCCCCACTCCGCCCACCAACTCCTGTGCATAGGAGCAATAGTCGATGACGCCAACGAATTTTGGGAAGAAGGGGCAGTTCCTCACGGCGTGCATAGCTGCAACTTCGTGCTGTAAGAGCGAGAAGTTACTAGTCAGTACCTTGACTGCCAGCAAGGTGCTGTCTCCTTGACGACGCATCAGTAAGACCTCACCGTAGTTACCAGACCCAAGCATCACTCTTCTTCCTGTGTTCGACAGAATGAACTCTAACTCGCTTGGATCGATGGATGGGTAAGCCGTTAAGTCAGGAATTCTGTTCTGAGGACTCTGTGATGTAGGTGCGTTCTTAGCTGGAGACAAATTGGCAGCAGTTGTTTTGTTATCTGCGACCGATGCAGTCTTCAAAGATGACATTTTTAAGACTTGAAACTGTGAAGAATGTTGGCTTTCAGACGATGTTCCTTTTTTAACAGTTGATCTTGATATCCTTTCTGCAGACTCCTCCTTGGAAAGGTTTAAATCTGACCCTGAGCTCTCAGGCTGCACCTGTCCATTTGGGCTACTCCTCTGGACGTTTCCAACACTTTCATCCAAGATCTCTTTGGAATGTTCTTTTGAGAGTATACCTGGAGAAGACTGTAGATCTTTAAAGGCTGCTTCTTGTCTAAGACTTGACGTGCTACTCTGGGCCTGCGATAATGCACCTGAGGTTCCTTTACTCAACTTGTTGGAGGAATACTTGGAATGTTTTGGTGAAGAGGTAGATTGTGAACTTTCAGTCTGTGATTCCACGTTGGCCATCAGTAATGACGTCATTCGTTTGAACTGGCACAGTACTTCTTTGGCTTTCTTGCCATTTGCTTCAATTTCCTTTGATAGAATGAAACAAAATTTCGGTAAATTCACGATGTAAAAAACTTTCCCTTTTACAGTACAGTGTTTCCCGGCCCTCAATTTGAAGGCTGTTTCAAATGACAAAATGGTGTAAAACAATCGTCATAACCAAGCCTTAGGTTAAACAGCTTTCAATCAATCATATCACAAAGAGATTCTACTGGTCAGGATAATTTTGTTAAAACTCGAGTATTTAGGCCCTACAGATCTACATTTCAAGACTGTTTTAAATGTAAAAGATCTACGAATTCCTCTGGGTGACATTAAATTAAGTTATTTCATTCATGATTCATTAATGAGTAAAAGTGAACCTACCTTTGCCTCTTCTATGGTGTAAGGTATGTCGTAGTTGGCAGCAGATAACATTCCGTGTAACTCTTTCCTGCGCTCGATGCAGCTCAGCACTATCGCCAGCCACTTCGACAATTCACCCTGGGACGAACTCTGCAGAGCACAGACCACATTGACTTGCAGCTGCCGAGAAAAAAAGGGCGGAAGAAAATTGTGAGAAAGCGCAAAATGGGCACAGGCTGAAGATACACTAGGGGTAATTTTGGGATAGATTGACTACGAGAAAGGAATCACCTGGTCTACATGAAGATAATAGTTGAAAATATGCAATTACTGACCAGAATCAGCACTGTCTGTTGAATTATTAAAGGAATTCTATAAAATTTGGTTTTACTAATGGTACAAACTTACAGCAAGTCGCTGTTCGTAGATTGTTGGAAATCTCGTGGCGTCCTGTCGTGTGTTCTGGTCTGATCTCTGATTGTTCTTCCCTGTCGGTGGCTTGTTACCAATTGAAGTAACAGCCGCTGTAGATGGATCTGTGCTGATCGGGACGTCCGAAGACTCCATCATTGTACCTCCAGTTGATGTTTCAAGTGAAACTGATTTAATGTTCTGTGAACGAAGATTTAATGCTTGAAAGCGTTTCTACACTTTTATAAATTGCACGCCTCATTCACACTCATCTTTTTGTGACAACATAAAATTACCTGGTTAAAATATTCAGAAGATTAATAAAATAAATATCCATTAAAGGCTAAGCCATGAATTTAAGCAATGTGGTGGTTTTATTAAGCTGAGTAATTGATAAGCAACCGTTACTTTACCTTGATATCATTGCTTCCAGCTTCCTTGGATGATGCTGAGGAAATTGCCCTTTCATCATTAGACACAGAGTCTCCATGTTCCTTTACTAATTCCAGCTTCTGATACGAAGAAGTATATATTGTGGGGGTTGCAGAGAGCTGAGAATTGCTATTTTGGCCAAGAGATGGAGATACTGTCTTTGAAATCGATTCCAAGTCATCTGCTAGATCTCCATTTTCTCGCACCTCGTCTTGATCTTGATATGGAGTAAGAAATGGCATTTCCATGGTGATAATGGCGTTACCCTCTTCTGAAGAAGATTCTGGAGTTGAGATGGAACATTCATTCTCAGATACTTGCCCATCTTCCTCTTTCATTGATGATGGTGTGACTGCAAAAGCTTGGGGTGAGATGACTATACCACTTCTTGAGGTTGACGTTTCGGATGCTAGTTCTGGCGGGGATCTCTTATCTTTTGTTGTTCCCTCAACAATGTGGTAATTCTCTGATATTGCTAGTTTAGGAATGGATGAGGCAGAAAGGGCGACTTCGTTTGGCGAAGTGGCCAAAGGAGACGCTGGTACTCCGTCATCGACGGTGGTGTTTTCATCCATCATTTCATTATGATCTTGTAATGATGAAATGGATGCATCACTTCTTGACGGAGACGGAGGTAAATTTGAGCTTCCAATATCAGGTGCTCCTTCACCATTTTGCAAGATTTCGGTCTCTAGACCCTTCGATGAACAGTTGACAGAGCTGGAAAGAGAGTCGTCGTTTGTTGCAGTAGAGCAAGGAGCTCTTGCCACGGGCTTCAAGGTGGATTCTGCAACATAACATCCTCCTTCTTCGTCTTTAGCCAACAGTTCATGAGCCTGAGGTGGCGAGGAGCACATGCCAAGATCAGCGGAGGCATCTTCCTTATAGACAGCTGGAGATTGCTTCTGTGACCTCGACACTGAACTGTCATCAACTGCAATCTCTTCGTGTTCTCTGTCCTTGGTCGGGGATGACGGTGATTCCGAACTGATTTCAGAACACTTGCCATCCCCTCTTGAGATTGGCGTCAGGGGATTTGGAGAAGGGATCGATCCTTCCTTATCTGATGCCGTCCTTGTCCCCTCTGTCATCGGTTTTTGCTCCTGAGATGGGGGTGAAGTCGAAACGGAGACAGAGGAATTGCAGGAGGAAGCATCCATTTGGGTTGAGGTGGGAAGTGACTGGTCATCGTAACTGACGATGAGACTCGAAACCTCATTTTCCTGTGATGAGGAGGGACTATCATTCCTTGGAACAAGAGGTGAGGTTGAACGAAGATGTTCCCAGTCGGGATGAGGCACCCCTGGAATCGGAAGAGAGTCACTGCAAGAGGCTGGTCTAGTTGTCATGGCCGCACTGCCTTGCCGACGATGCATCGTACCGGTTGATGCTAACAAAATAAATTAATATTGAGTTAATTTTCCGATAAAGAGAGTTAATCACAAGTCCGATAAAGACAAGTAATCACAAGTCCAATAAGAAAATCAGAAGTCATTATTCTAGTCACAGTCATCGTGGGGTGAAAAACACAAAAATGTCTTTGTCTCACTGCACTTCAAACGAATATTCAATTCAGTATTTCATTTTGAAATAACTTTAAGGATTTCTAAACATCCTTTGTTTACAAGTGGTCATTATGAAAGTTCATGAACGCTAGTGAGTAAATGAAGCCGTCGAAAAAGAAGCATCGTTGGAGTTGGTCTTTAATGCGGGAGCAAATAAGTCGCCAGACTTAACCAAAATTAATTTGAGATGGACTCACCGTTTCCTCCTATTCCATTCACTGTTCGACTCTTTGCCAGAGCTTTGATGTTTCTACCCTGGCAGCCTGAGTCACTTTGGTCTTCTCTCAGTGACCTCAGTCGATTGGTTCGACCTACTGGTGAACCCTGAGGTGGATAAAAGGGCTCAACGGCGGTCGTGGTCCCACGATGCCGAGGAGCAAAAAGAGACCGAAGTCTCGACGTCCACGGTCGTCTTGGTCTGAAGAAGTCAAGGGAGAAAAAGAAGATAAATAACAGAAATTGTACTAAAGACAGACGGTAGGTTAAAAAAAGTGGTCATCAAACAAGCAACCAGTTGATTGATTGACTGATCAACTTATATCCACACGGAAAATCCTCCAGTCAAGGGATAACCTTTATAAGAACTATATACAGATCAGAATAATAATGGTAATTATGGCGTCCAAGCCGATGATTATTTTTGTATGTTTAATTACCAGAAACAATGATGTCAAATTTAGGCGTGGACTTTTGTCAGTTTCAATGTGAGTAGAACGTTTTTGGTAAAGATGTCTTTGGTTTACCAACAACGAAATGACAGTGTAGCCACACCTGTGATCAGGACTACATGCAGACACTGCCTATATAAACTCACTTCGCTCACCTTGATTTTGAGGTGACGCGTGCCTTATTTGAAGTGACAGATGACGGCCTGTCATCGTCCTTAACCGGGAGACACGAGCTCGTCCGTTCGCAGTTGACGGTTGCCAGCTTACAGGACTGCCCGACCACCACCAAGTCGGTTGATTTCTTCATTGTCTTGGAGATTGACGACGACGTGATGAACATGGCGTAGCGGGCCGAGTCTCGGGCACTGGGGAGGGGGCGGCGTGCTTCTGAAGTCATCGAAGGACCTTCGGTGTTAAGAGGTCGGACCTTATTGATATGAAGCTGACGCCGAAGGGGGAAAAGTCTCCTGTTTGGGGAACCAAAATGAGGACTTTGTTGTTATTGTTCTGTGATTAATAATATGACATCAGCGTAGTCCAATGTTTCGCTCTCAAATGAGTTTGCATCTGTATACTTTCACTATATTTTACCTTCTCAATTTTGCCTCGGTGATCAAAATCCTAATTTTGATCGTTGAGATTATGGTTTTGGTTTGCTTTGTAGCTGTTTTGCAGTGCTGTACTTTACGTTCATTGAATTTCCCTGCTGTTGTCTTATTCAGTAGAAAACTAAGAGATGCCCGGAACTAAGGAACAAATGCATTAGCAAAGTGCCACCCCAAAAGAGACGTAGTGGGTCCAAGTCAGGCACATTAGGGTAAAAAGTCGATTTGGAGTTATTACAGTGTTAGTAAAGTTAGACTTTGCTCTTTAAATGGCACTTTGGTGTTTTCAATTGGACATTTCGAGGGAAAGCTACCAAATTCTCATATTGGGCTGTACAAATGATTAAATAAGAAATAGGTCTTTAAAACTAAAGCTTATAGGGACAAAAGATGTAGGCTTGCGGGTAGACCATGGAATCAATCTCTTTTTGGAAGAGGTGCTGTTTTACATCTCATGTAACTTTCACCATCCAAGGCTTCAAATATTACTTCCAGAGACGGGGTTTTACCCACGAAATTCAGTTTTGAAACTTAATTAATAACGAACACTTTTAAAAACCAGCCCTAGTATTGAAGAGAATATTGAAGCTCCAATCGCGCTGATGCCGTTGATATTCATGTTTCTATAACAATTATGCTAGTCTACTTTTTCCATGTTTCATTTTGTTTTAATCTACATGACACATTTCAAAGACTTGGGATCTTTAGTCTGATATTCGTTTCTGGTTCTTGTTTTTTTTGTGTGAAATTTGGTTAAATTTGGATATGAATTTATTAAACTCACCTCACATGAGGACCTTCTAAAGGTGGCTTAAGATTCCGCTCATCCTTGGCAGAATCAATCTTTTGATGGACGTATCCGCGGGATGCCCATGGCGGGCCAGCTAACTGACCGCCATTCCGTGATCTTATCCGGGTATCACCTCTCGGCTGACTCCCTCTCACAAAACCAGCCGAGTCCGGTCCACGTCCTCTCCGGGATTCGGAGGCGCGACGGTAGTATCTGGGGCTCTCGCTGCTGCGTCCGGCCGATGTGCCGCTGGCGGCACACGGCACGCAGGAGTCCCAGTCGTTCATTGGTCTAAAATGTAAGACGAGGGAAAAAACTTTTACCCATTGCAATACAAATAAACTAAACAAATCCATGCTGTGTCGTTTGTATCTTTAAGAACATAAAATTATTAAATGCCTCTGTTCATACTTCTCCAAACCGCTGTAGGCCTACCATTTGATTTCTGTAATTTTGCAAAGTGTTTTCAAGTATCAAATGAAAGTATTTAAACATTATATCCCTTTTCCCTTGCTAAATTGACACATAACATTTGCTGCAATACACCGTTGAAGTAATGAATTAAAGTTTGAAGTAAAACTTCAAGCTACCACCCCTTTTGATTCGATCAGAATTATAAGTTATCCAAAAAAATGCTTGTCAAGATGTCTTACCCGGCTGCCTTTGCGTAGTTGTACATTCTTAATCGCTGTATGGTTTTCTCCAAAGAAGGATCTCAGTAAATTCGCTGCTTTTGAGCTCGAAAGCAAGATGTCCGTGTTCACCGATCGAAGCACAAACAAAATCTGAATGTTGCCAAGGCGCGGCAAAGCTGGAGTTTCCAAATTGTGTGCGACGTCATTGTGACGTCACAAAATGTTACCGTACTATTCCTTGGGACAGCGCGTGTGTCCTGTTGTCGAAATACTTGCTGAGTGCCAACAGAGAGTTTGAAGCATGTTTCTGTCTCTAATTTGAAGCCCGAGTTTCTTGCAGATAGCCAAGCCATAATACATAGCTTAGACCTCAATAAGCCACACAACTAATAACTGGTCTACTCGTTCTTGATTCATACATTGCCCCAAGGAAATATTGCGTTTGTATCTAGGATCATAATGAATAATTTCTAAACCAACTTAAAAAATACTGTCTAAAGTAGTGGTTTCGTTCATATTCATGTTTGCTAGCTTTGATAGTTTTTTCTTTCTCTCAAACCTCCTATTATTAATTTTTCAAAACAAGAAGTAAATTTTCCCACTTTGCTCTCGCACCTCTGGCCTTTGAGAACTTGAAGCCCTCAGGCTGTTGCAGTCGGGGAAAATTTTCTGAACTTGAGATACGAGTGCGATTTAAGTTGACCTTCCAAAAAAGTTTCAGCGGTTCCTTTCATACCGCCCTCCAGTGAAAGGTTCCGAAAATTTCACCTGTGTTTCGTTGGTGTCCTTTCTTTTATTACACGAATACCTACCGGTATTTCCCGTGCATGATGGGTGCCAGTCGAAAGTTGCGGTGTAAAGTTTCTCCCAGCTAAAGTTTTTAGAGATGTCACCGACAGAGCTTGTTTACGTTTTTGTCTTGTTGTCCTCTGTGGGTTTTGGACAAGTCATCAAGCATGTCAGGATTCCAGTACAGAAGCAATTGATATCTACCTGTGTCGGGGTGGTGATGGTTGTGGGTCTTTGTGGGTGGCAGACATACCATTCCGTTCTGTCGGTAGCTGTGACGGTAGCCATCATACGAGGAATTGGTCCCAACAGGTGGGCGCGGCCTAGACCCGTAAACAGGGCCCGACAAATACTCCTCCGTCGTATACTGTGCCCTGTCCCGATTTATAGGGATTTCTTTCGAAAACTTTATCCGGGACTTCCGGGAGCATAAAACATTCGCTTAATTTTATGAGCTGAAATTGCATCGGTATGTTCACTACTTAGGGTTGCTAATTCGTACGGAGTGGGAAAACGGCAAAAAAGGCAACATTTTTTCTCAAATGAGGAAAAGACGAATTTTCTACAATTAACAACCTAGTGGGTGGTTTACACCATAAGTAGTGAGCATACCGGTGCAATTTCAGCTCATAAAATCAAGTGGATCTTTAGTTATGCCCCCGGATGTCCCAGACAACTTTTTCGAAAGAAATCCCAATGAATCGGGACAGAGCCCAGTATATGATGGTTGAGTATTCATTGGGCCCTGTTTACAGGTCTAGGCACGGCCATGTTTGTGCCCCTTAGATCATGCCCACTTGACGAAGGGATTTGCCATAACAGACCGGTCCCAAGCATGGGTTATTAATGATAAAAAAAGTACCATGTTTATAAAAGACAATATGTTTCACCCAGAATTTATAAAGAAGCAGGTCAGGCGAAGCACACAATTTTTTAAAGTTTAATTTAAAGTGTACATGTACTTTTTGGAGGCCTAGGCTTACATCATGGCCTAGCCCTAACTAGGTCTAAGTAACACAATTGACTCGAGCTGTAAGCCTACATGTACATGTAGCAGTAACTGGTAAAATCATGTTAGTGCAGCTGGTGATGTATTGTAGAGTCCCCTTATGTGACACATTTATCCCCAGAACTGTGGGGTCCGGTAACGCACTTTGACTTTCATTTGACTTGTGCATACAGTGTTGCCAAACCTCATGTTCAAAAAACTTCAAATTCATTTGGTGAAATGCTCACCTGGAGACCATAATACATGCTGTTTGAACATTTGTGAATAATTTCAGTGTCGTCCGAAATTAAGTAATGGCGGAACCGGGAAGTTGGCAAGAATTCAGCTGAGTGTCCCCTAACAGTGACATTGCGCCCTTCAGAAAGGGGCAGTAAATCCCACATAAACATGTACATGTAAGAAGTTCTTTAAAGTTGATAAATTGTGATAAATTATATTAGCCAACCTCCACTTACATACATGTACAAAACAGCAACTTTGTCAGAAAGTTATTTTGTGCTTTTGGCATATTTTGTGTGCATATTAATTGTATTTAGCAACATGCCTTGGCCCTTGAACAGAGTTCTATTTGCATCGATGACATACTGTGCATTGTGGCTCAGTCAGTTTACAGGTGGTGTGTTACACCCCACCCTATAAACCTGTTTGCCATGCTGTAACTGAGTGATGTTATCCCACACTGTCAATATACATTGATACACTCGTAGATATCATTGACATGTTGTCCCTCAAATTGTGTCTGAAACTCATCTGGCATTAAGTAAAGGCAGGAAATTACCCTTGATCAAAAGAAAATTTATTTTCCATAAAATGTGTTCAGAACTTGTGTGAAACCTTGATGAGTTTAATGACTACAAACACTGTAAGACGCAGTAAGCAGGATTAGGCTTGTGGTTTGGGTGCAGCAAAACATGAGTTGGACTTCCCCTGATTTGTACTGTCGACTACAGATCTGGAAAGGCACAAAACTTCCATATTTTACCAGAAACAAAACAAAGTTTACTCCATCTTGTAGTTTCAATGAAGACAGGTGCATTCAGTTTTGGAAATATACATGTACTGAAATTGAAAAAACTGTTTTAACTCGTATTTGTTAAACATGATTAAAGCTATTGGAAGTGTTTTATCTTTTTTGAACTTGATCCCTGCAGGAATTGCCACCTGTGGAGTTTTGCATTCTCATTTTCCTACCTTCTTGTCTTTCGTCTTGGATATCTGATCGGTTTACCAGCTCCTACAGGCTTTTCTAATGTTGTTCAGTTGCTTCTAACACTGCGGGTAAGTTGTCTGTTACAGGAAGCATGATCACTAGCCAGTTACAAGTTTTTTTAAGATGTGAATCGGACCGACTTTCAAATTTTAATTTCAGGAAACTTGCTAGATGTAAGAAAAACGGCGGTTTTTGTTAAACATTTTAGATATTCTAGAACAATTTCAAATGTAAATACTAGGAATTTGTGGAAATTAGAGGTTGCCCCAAATAAAGTGTGGTTAAAGAGGAAAAATGAGTAGGCCCTATTTCGTTGTTATAATGTAGCAGAGAACCTTCTCAGATAAAAGTTTAGCAGGCTAGAATCCCTCAGAGCCCTTCTACATGTACCCATTTTATGAGTGTTTATACAATGTACATAATTATGTATGTTTTTACAAGCATTGAACAGACCTGTCAAAATGAGAAGTTGCTGTTTTGATTGGATACTTTTTCCATTTATTTTTTCCTCATATTCTGTTTCATGGAAGTTTCATCAAACTGAAGCAAGGAGAAGAAGATATTGACATGCATTTGGAGACAGCATAGTTTTGTTAATGGTGATAACTTTTTTTTGTTTCCAGCTCGTTGGGATCTCATTTGAGATATACGATTCCCATGCTGCTAAAGCTAGAGCCAGAGATGAAAGTATCAATCACAATCAGCAGAATGGAAAACCTCGTTATAAAGCTTACATTCAAGAACCCAATATTGCCGATATCTGCCACTACAGCTTTTGTTTCGTTGGACTTTTTTCAGGTATTTATTGACCAATAACATCAATGTAGATTGATTGAAGAACAGTGATATACCTAGGAACTGGATTCAGGGGAAGGGGAGCTGAAAATAAGGACTTTTCCAATTTTCTTTAAATGTTCAAATGTTTTCATCTAAAGGAGAATCCTGCATCCCCTCCAAAGAAAGCAGTGCTCTAAGTTTCAAATGTTCAAATGTTTTCATCTAAAGGAGAATCCTACATCCCCTCCAAAGAAAGCAGTGCTCTTTCTGTGCTTTTAATTCTTGAATTAAAAAAAAAAAACATTACGAATGGCAACATGTCTTCAAGGGACCACTCTCTCCCCACTCCTCCCGGATATGCCACAACTGATGAACATGTAACCAAAAAGCTACTTGGAGTGTGCGTTGAATATTTTTATTAAAGATTTCATATCTTTTTCCCGATTCATACAGGTCCATATTACACCTACAAGACGTACTATGACATGCTGCAATGTACTCATTCCCCTTCTATACCTACCACTTGGCCAATTATTGAGAAACTCAAGACATTAATTCCTCTTGGAGCAGCTTATGTAGCGTTGTCTTTCTTCAAATGTTCATCAGCACCCTTCTTCCTGTCGGAGGAGTTCTATTCATATGGGTACTTTCAGAGGTGAGAGGCAAGGTCTGGAACTCTGAGCCCCATGATACTTGGCAAACTCAAAGAGTCCGTTGGTACTTGGTAAACTCAAAGAGTCCGTTGGTACTTGGCAAACTCAAAGAGTCCC